GGTTATGCAATTTCCAAGCAGAAATTCTTCCCTGTAAAATAGACAGAGCCATTTGAATAGGGCCTAAGTAGGAGAAACAGCAAATTCTGTATTGTGAGGCAAACATAGCAAAATCCTTTGCTGTATAAATTCCACTGGACTGGGAAGTATATAGGTATGAGGTAACTTTTTTGGACAAATTTCGAACTAAGATACTCCTATTTCTAGGTATGTGCTCAGGAAAAATTCATGCAAATGCCCATGGGATGTTTGAAGGAGCATTTTTCAGAATAGATCAGACTGGAAATGACCTGAGTCACCATAGCAGTAGAATGTATAAATAAAATGTAATGTGTTCACACAGGAATATTTTATTGGAAGGAAAATTAATGAACTATATATAACATCTAACAAACATAATTTTGAATGAAGAAATATCACAAAAATAATATATGCAGTGTGGGTCCATTTTTATAAAGTTTGAAAATGAACCAAACAAAGCTCTATTTTTAGGAATGAACATGTAGTAGTCAGAATTATAAAGAATAGTAAAAATATGTTTACCATAAAACAGGATGGAGGCAATCGAGAGTGGAGAGGCTACTTGGAAAGGACACATAGGAAGTTTTTAGGGTACTATGAATGATCTATTTTCTGATGTAGATGGTAGATATACAGCTGCAATTATATTCATTCATTCATTCATTCAGACACTCCTACTGAATTTTTGAATTTGTTATCATAATTTTATATGATCCTTTTCTAATTATTTTCATCTCACCTTTATCTGTCCTTTGTCTCCTTTCTAATCCCTAACTTGTTTTCTCTCTCCTTTCCTTAAATAAACTCCTGAAGGGAGTCTATCTTTTTGGTCTTCTCACTGAACTAGGTTTTTAGTTATACATATTATTTCTACTTTTCTTTTTATTTTAACAATTTCAGCTTTTATCTTCATTAATTACCTCATTTTATGGGAAATTCTTTTGGAAAATTGCCAGTTGGGGTCTAAGGACATCCAACAATATGCAATGTTAACTATTTTTCCTTCTTATAAGAATAGATTCACAAATTTTGGCCATTGATCTTAAGCAAGGTGGGCCAAGTCAATGTACCCTCTTCCTATCAAATATCCACATATTTTCAATACGGTATAATTCTTATATACAAATCACCTGTGCTATGGTTTGAATGTTTATGTCCCTCCAGAATTCATATGCTGGAATCCAAACCCTCAAGGTGATGGGGACTTTGGGAGGTGATTAGTTCATCAGGGTGGAGCTCTCATGAAGGGACAAGTGCTCTTTTAAAAGGGATCCCAGAATGCTAGCTCACCCCTTCTGCCATGTGAGCACAAAGCAAGAAGTTGGCAGTCTGCAACAAGAAGGGAGAACTCGACCTCACCAGAACTCAGCCATGATGGCACCCTGATCTAGGACTACCCATCCTCCAGAACTATAAATAGTAAATTTCTGTTTTTTATAAGCCACCCGGTGTACGGTAATTTGTTTGGCAATCTGAACAGACTAAGATAGTCTGCTTTAGTCTATGTACCCCTAATCCATTAGCTCTGTCCCTTTATGGTCTATCGGGATCACTGCTCTGATATAGATGACAATCTAAAAGGACTATATGTCAAGTGGCCTGGAGACCATTGACAGTAAAGTCCATCGTAGGTAGTAATCACTACACTCGGAAATGTTATAAAGGGGTCAGAATATTTCTGTCTACTACACCAATTTCATGCAAAGGCTCAGCTACAGCTGAGTATACCTACAGGCTGTGTATACCACCTCTGTCTCTATAAATTCCTGATCACAGGTAAACAATGATAACATTGGTGCCCCAGACCATTTGGACAACTGGGGATAAATCAAGAGAATTCATATGTCAATCATGAGCATCACATACAGAGGAAAAATTAACTATATATTACATATAACACTTAGCAAATTACAGGGACCAGACTAGGTGTTTGATAAATGCCACCAATCCATGTGTGCCATTGTAGTCACCACTTCCCCATGTGATGTGGGGACTCTGTGTCTTTGTATAGGTGTGCTCTGACACTCTAATGCCTTGCTCCACCTTTGTCACCTGATAAACTCCTCTCATCCTTCCGAGAACTCCCTACTCATCCTTCCCTCCTTGGTACTCCTGCAGATACTCGGCAGTAGTTCCACCATGGATCTAGGGAAATCTTTACAGACAGAGCACTGAAGTGTCCAGAGCAGTTGTTTTCAAACTACAGGAAATCAGGGAAGGGCTCCTAATCATTTAAGACAACAGAAGGCCTGGGTCCGCCTTAGACACTGAACCTCAGAGGTTCAGAGCACTCTCCATGCTCTGGAATGCCTTTCTTGAAATTTTCTGAGCCCCTTCCAGTGCCAGGGATCAGCCAGGACCAGCAGCGTCATCCCGGCCAGATGCCCAAGCCTGGAAAAAACTGCTCGGGTCCCATTTCTTCCATTTGGGGTGCTCAACAATCCTCTACCCAAGGAACCCTCGGACTCATGCCTGTGGAGCTGTCCTGGGACCCTGTGTCTGGGTCTGGTTCCAAGGGAATGGCCTGGCAAGTGGATCACTCTCACTGTCCGGAGCAGTATTTCTTCCACAGGATCACGTGAGGTAGGATTGCCAGGGTGGTGCCGATATGCTGATTTTGGTTGACTCGAATTGTTTGTATGGACAGGGGCCTCCCAAGAAAATATTTGCTTGGGTAGAATTCCCCATTGAAGACAGCTGCTCTAGGGATTTTCTTGGTTGGGAAGTTTTTGATTGCTGATTCAATTTCCTTTCTAGGTACAGATCTATTGAGATTTTCTATTTCTTCCCGATTCAGTTGTGGTAGGTGATGTGTTTCTAGGGATTTGTCCATTTCATCCAGGTTATTCAATTTGTTGGCATACAACTTTTCAAGTACTCTCTTATAATTCTATTTATTTCTGTAAAATCAGTAGTAATGCCTCTTCTTTGATTTTCAATTTTAGTTATTTGAGTTTCCTTTTTTCTTTGTCAATCTAGCTAAAGGTTTGTCAATAATATTGTTGATCTTTTCAAAGACCAACTCTTGATTTTTCAAGATTTGTCATTGTGGACGGGCGCGGTGGCTCACGCCTGTAATCCTAGCACTCTGGGAGGCCGAGGTGGGTGGATCGCTCAAGGTCAGGAGTTCGAGACCAGCCTGAACAAGAGC